TGCCAAAGGAGAAGAAGAAGGAAGGAAACCTTCGCAGTGTCGGCATGTGCCTGACACCAGCCCCGCGCAGCGCACGGCTCTGCCCAGGGGTGAGGGCCCCAGCCCGGGGCCAGGGCCTCGCTCCCCGCCAGGCCGTGGCAGGTGGGCAACCGTCTTGCTGTGGTTCCCCTCCCCTGCCTTTCGCCAGACCGCAGGACTCCAAGGGTGGCAGCTGTGTCACAAAGCTCTGTGCAAAGAGCCGTGTGTTGATTGTTATTAATGATTGCACCGTGGTACTGAACTGGGGTTGCTGGTGGATATCCATGTTGGCAGTGCTGTGCTCAGGCAGTGCCCGCTCAGCTGAGGCGACGTCCTAAATGCATCCAAAGGCAGAGCTAGGGGCAGAGGATGCAACAATCCTTTTGCAGTGCCTAGAGCACATGGGAAAACATAGAAATTGACTGGAGTCAAACTCTGGATTGCACTTCTTGCTTGACCTTGTGTGCCTGGAAAGTACCTCCTGTGTCATATAACAGGCTATGGATTCATCGGTGCTTATCTGAGATTTTCTTTGCTAGCCTAGTACGTTTATAGTTTGCCTTTACTACCATTTTTCCTCTATTTGTTTGTGTTACCACAAAAAGAGTTCAGTGTTGTAGACTGATCTTCAGATAAGGGTTTGTTTCTGAAACTCTGAAGTACTGTAATGAAGTAAAACTAAAGATACAGGGTTTTGGATAGATTAAGTAGGGGGTTTTTTCCATGTCCATGTTTGCTTGGTTACTTGTGACTTCTTAGTCTGACTCTTTAGTCCAAATCAGTCAGGCTTTTCAATAAAAAACAGTATCAAAGCTACTCTTACACAAACAGTAACAAATAGTCCCAATTCTGCATGCGGCAGAGGACACCATCGAAATTAAGCTCCTATAGTGCCTACAATCAAAGGGGAAGAGTCACGTGTTGGTGTCTGTGTCTAAACTAGAGCTTATGATATGTTTCTGTGATTATTAGTCTACTTGTTGAATTGTGTAAGTGAGGCCAGACCTTTCTACTTCAGGCTTCAGTAACTCTTTGGTAGAAGAGCAGTAATGCTTCCATTGCACATAAAGGGTGTCTTGCAGCTCACACACCAGTGGTTTAGAGGTATCCAGCTAATGGGGTGACGAGGGTCATTACGGAGTTCTGCTGCGTGAAGGGGTGGAAATAGCGTTGATTCACATAGTTGTGCAGTGATGGGTGTAAAAAGGCTGAGGGGCACCTATGGGTGAGTGTAAGAAGAATATTTAAAAGGTTAGGTCTAGTATCAAGGGCTTCCATTAGTTCTTTTGGGAAGCCTAATGTGTTTTACTGCTAGGAAGCTCTCTGTGACGTTACTCTTGATCTGGAGCAGGTAGCCAAAACAGTGTCGAAGTGGTCAGTTAGATTGATCAAATATTACGATACTCTTTCCACCTTTTCTGATGAAGTAGATATCCTCATCTACGCTATTGTTTCATAATAAGTTGAAAACTTGTGACTTAGGATTTAAATTAGTCTAAAACCACTGTTCGCTCTGTTTTTGGAAGAAAGAGCTACTTTAAAAGGGGAAGTCCAGTATATTCTATTCAGCGGAAACTGTTTAAGAAGCCACCTCTGAGAGGCAGTTCCTTTGTACTAAGGGACTATTCTCTCAAAAAAAGTGCTGTATTGCCTTTTATTAAATAGATATATTTAGAAACTCCTTTTCTTGCTGTTCGAAGCATGCTTCATTTTACAGCTACACCTTGTACTGTAAAAGGCAGAGCAGATGTATATTTTGTTATAGTCTCCTGAAAAACTATACTCATTGAAAAGTTGAGGGCTTTATTATTGCAGTGAAGCATTACTAAAATGGTTAAACCTTGTTCCAAATCAAGGCATATTCATTTTATTATAATTCTTAATAGAAAGAACAAAGTGAGAAGATAGGGTTTCTTTTTTTTTTTTTTTTCTGTCAGAAAGCCAGACCCTGTACAAAGATTTTAATTTAATTTATTTTTTTATTTTCCCTTCCTTTCATTTCTGTTATTACAAGTCATTGTAGCAAGACAAGATGACTACAGCTGTCTTTTTAGATAGAAGCCTGCGATAATTTAAATTGTTACCTGATTAGTTCCAGGGAGTCAAAAAGCATCAGTTACTTTCTGGCTAAAATCTGCCATTGCTCACTAGCCTTAAAAGTTGTCTGCTCCCTCTCATTTGTAGGATTGGAGTATATATATACATTTCAGTATTATAAGGAAAGGGTACTCCATTTTCATATTACAATAACAAGCTTATAGATATTAAACACCAAATAACCTGTATAATGTTTTGCAAAACATGGAGCGAAACATGGTTCCTGCTGTAGAGCACTTCAGGTTCACTCTGGGCAATGCAGAAGAGGCCACCCTGCAGGTAAGAAGGGACTGTTGTTTGCTTCTCTGTTAGCTTGGAAAAAAAAAAAGTGTTTATTGAAGTGGTAGAATTTAAAAAGGTATTGGAAACATTGCACCGGACAGCTTCAAAGTCAGACAGATTGCACTGAAAGCAGCTAGTAACATGATGTTGAAAGGCAGTTTCGTGGTATTAATGAGAGAGCAGAAAAGAGCACTGTTCAGTGAAGAGCAGGTCAGGAGATAGTGACATGGGGTGAGGGGGAGGAGGGTTGGAAGAAGTTACGAAGGGGAAGCGAGAAGTGGCATGGTCGAATTAGCTATCAACACGGAAACTGAAACTGCTTGTGATGGAGAGTAGTGGACTGAGGAGAGAGAAAGAGAACCAGAGGAGATGCTGTGGCTGGTGGCTGCATGTGCAGAGAGATTCTTTAAACCTGTCCTGCTCAGGGATGTGGTTAAGGGGGATGGTTGGGAACTGTGTGGCAGCAGCTCCTGCTACTTGTGTTAAAATTACACGCTTCCTTCTTTGTGTATGGGTGAAAGAGCAGGTTCCAGGGCATCCTGTTTGTAAATAAACTCGCTGAGGAGTAATCAGGCTTGTAATGATCTGTTTGATGCAATGATGTGCAGGAGGCCAAAGCACAGAAACTTGCTAATATTTGAAAGAGCTGCTGCATATGCATCTCTCTTTTGGCTGTTTTGTGCCAAGATGTGTCCCAAGTGTATGCACACAAATACCTGCCACCTGACATGTCAGTAAGGAAAAGTAGACTGTGTAGGAGAAACACAGCCGTGAAATTTTGTAAGTGTGTAAATTGAGACTCTTTAAACATAGACAACATTTGTTTCAGTATTTGTATTTACTCATATTTTCCCCTCATTTTCTGTACAGCTCTCAGAAAGACAGTTACCTGGTTTAAATTCTCATTTAGGTCTTGTATAGGTTTAAATTCTCATGTAGTGCAAGAGTTTATGCAAGCTGATGTCATTATCTCTCGTGTTACCTTGTCATTGGATTGCTAGGCCTCAATCATCAGCACTTCTTCACTCTTCCTGATGTCATACCAAGAAGACAGCAACACTGGCTGTAGAGCCTGTGAGGCTTCTCAGATTTCGGAGGTCTCTTCAGGCAGCAAACTGATGCTTCTTTAGTGATACAGGGCAAGAAGAAGAACAAACCTGCTGCAGTTCACCATGGGGACAGCATTTTGGTTGTCTGAAGAAAGATTAGGAATATATATTTAAAAAAAAAAAGCCTGGGAGAGTAGAAAGATTTTGAGTATGATTCAAATATGTTGCAGATTTACAGTAGTGGAAATTATCATCAGTTTCAAGAACGAAAAGTTTAACTTCCAGCTTGCATAGAACTCACGAGGTTTTTATGGCACATAATGCTACAAATACCCTAGAACACTAAAGAAATTCCCATAGGAATGGTGATTTCTGATAAGAGCTACTTCTGTCTCCATGTCAGTTAGAGAAAATCTCTGTGAGCAAAGGTATCTCATTCTGTATAAAATCAATAAAAGCAGATCTGACACTTGAAAGGAATTTGATGGGGTCGAAGTGCACATTTTTTGATGTCTTTAGAAGACTCTTGAAGCCATCAAATCAAGATAAATATAGTCAGGGTTGGAACTTTGTTTGAGGAAGTCTCTCTTACTTTGGACCTACCAGTAACAGTTGCTATTTTCTGGGGAAAACCAGTATTGCTATTTGAAGGTTTCAGAAGTGCATTCTTACTTCTTAGTACTATGAGATACTGTTTTGGTAAAGGTGTATTTGGACAGCATATGTGGTGTGTTATGCTTACATTTTACATTTGATGTACATGTATAATTTCTAAGTTATATACTTACAAACCTGCTAGATATTACCTAAGAGGAGTCTATTAATAATTGTACTAGGTACCATTTTTCACTATCTGATCAAGAGTTGCTTGTGTAAGTGTCCCAGGAATCCTTCCTTGGCCGCTGGTGGTACTGGCAAATGGCTTGGTAAATGAAATAAACTGCCATGGTCAAAGCAATTTGTGCAATATAATTGCATTTACACTATTTTTTGGTTAGGAGAGGGCGTAGAAAATGTGGCAGAAAATGCTACAGACATACCAAATATTGCTCCTTTAGAAGAGGTTTTTAACATAGTTCTGCTTTAGTTTGAACACGTTTTTTTTCATGTTTCCTATGTTCTTTAGTTTTATTTAGGCTTAAATGCTTTCTTTGTTATGACATAGGTATTATTTTCTTTGGCATTTCAATGGTTTGCGTTCTTTGTGTTTTGCTCTTTTGTCCTTATTACTCGGGTATACTTACATTTGGTATTTCTTCTAGGTCTTCTTTCTTGGTCATCCCCCCCCCCTCCCTTTTTTTCTGTCATAATGCTGAGACTTTAGAGATATAAATCTGTATTTGGAGTGATGGGGGTCTACGTGCAGTTGAAGATGTGCATGCATAAAAGCATACGGGGAGTTACGCCCCTTAATGTGATTTTTTTTCATGTGTTTGGGCTAAACAGACCTGGGCTCACTTAATTTTTGTCTGGAACACTGCGTACTTCTGTGTTAGAAGACTGAGGAAGCAGGTATTGGTACGGTGCAGCTAGAAGAGAAGCATTGGTCTTGCTGAGAAATTCATTGCATACGGTAGCTGCTCCACCCAGCTCTTCCTTTTTAATACATTTTGCAGCAGTGTGACTACCAAAGCGTCATTGGTACTGTCCTCTGTGAAGACTGTTCGTACTTTCTTTCAGGATAAAACGGCAAGGATGCTGGTAATGTTAGCCAGGTATCTACCTTGCATTTGAATGGCAGGAGTCTCTATTAGGTAGCTTTAACTTACACAAATGTGATTTTTTTAAAGAAATAAAAATGCTATTTTAAATATTGAATTTTCTCTCTTTTTTTTTTCTTTTCAGGACACTGAAAAGAGTGTAGACTATGGAGTGCTGCCAGAGTACGAGAAAAGCCAGATCAAAAGGACCTTGGAGTTGGGAACTGTTATGACAGTATTCAGTCTTAAGAAGAGTAGTCTGGAAAGGAGGACTATTCAAGTCATAATGGAAACCAGGCAGGTAGCATGGAGCAAGACAGCTGACAAGATTGAAGGTTTCTGTGAGTATTTGCAAAGTGTACCTGAACTTGGAGTTACTAATAAATTGATGTAATTATCAAATATTGATTTAATGAGCCTTTGTTAACATCATGAAGTTTTTGGCTGAAGAGAGTCTGGTAATTTGCTGAGAATATTCTGAATTGTTGCAATGTAGGTGAAGAATCTTCTGCAGCTCGTTTTTTAGGTATCTAACACTACTTAAATACCATTAACGTGCTTTTACCCTAAGCACTGTTCTCAAAGTTTTCATCTTTGAATATGACGGTGCTTGTGTTCTCTGTGAATTGAGTTACCGAGTGACAGCTGTTTTCCATCCATAAACGTCAAGATGCCCTGTAAATTCAAGCGATTAATACTTCTTTACCCCTTTTCTCTCCAAAAAGAAGAAACTCCAGATACAAGGAAACTGAATTCAAATTTCTATTTTCTTAGGGAATTTGCCATTTCAGGATAGAAATTATTTAGGACCATTATTGGAAAGTACCCATGACTTAGGAGGATGGAGCTGTCAGATGCAAGAGATGGTTCCAAGGTTCTGAGTTGATACTCTCTCTTTAGCTGATATTTGAACTGACTAAACCCACTATAACAAGGTTGGGAAATTGAAGGGGAGTGTAAAGCTACATAGGACTGCAAAAGCTGTGGTAGAAGAATAAAGGGAGACTAATCTTCAGTTCTTACTGAACAGGGCTGATGTCAGCCAAGCTCAGCCTGTGCTTTTTGGGATTTGTACAGCTCCTGCTAGTATAATGTAATTACAGTGCTTGCATATGACTATGTAATAACTTTTCTTTTTATTATGGATATGATTTTACTATGCAACTGCTAAATGGTGTTTGTCCTCAATAAAGGAACTGAATTGTCTGCCTGAATTGCCAGAATAATTTATTGGTCAGCTTCAGCTAATATGAGAAGCTTGGAGTTGAGGAAATGGGGCTATTTGGGAAACGGAATTGTAGTATGTGGAGAGCTGGGAAGACTGAGCAGACACATATTGTACTGTCTCAGTGCTACCCCATACACAGATCGTCTGTGACTGGCACCAGTTACTCCAGCAGTACAACAGACAGGAGCCACCATGCTCCTGGTATTCTCCCTGGATGTGAGTACACACTAATGTGAGAGAAATTGGGAAGGAGGAGAACGGAGTTTGTCTGTTGAGTTGTGGATTTTTAAAAAGGTTTTTTTGGTAAATACACTGTCAGTTAAAAATGCATCGATCTGTAAGTTTGTGAAGACAGGCACTGAGAAGTTGCATGGGATTTGGATTGTCTGTGCAGCTTCCCTTCCTGCTCCAGAAATACAATGTAATGGAACGAAAGACTGGTTGTCTGGAGGATGTTTTTATCGTTGGTGGTGAAAATGTGGTCATATGCAGTGTTCTGGGAAAGGGCAAATGGGCCTGGACACCCTAATTAACAGGTACTCTGGATCTTGCAGTGCCCCAGTTTTTCATGTGGAAAATGAGGGTAATTATCCATTCCTATAATGATGCCTGTGAATGCAAGTGTATTACCAGTTCTGATAAGCTCAGATCCCAAGGTGAGGTGTGCCAAAAAAAAAAGCCCTGAGAGGAGATGAATAATTCAATTATGAGACCATAGCTTTAATATGCTTAGCAAATAAAGCCTGGGGTTACAGAGCTATAAGACTAAAACAAAATAAAAAAATGACTACTTAGTGGGTGAACAAGGCATTAGAGTCCTCTGGCAAAACCACTGTGCGATCATGTAGTTGAAGACTTAACCATAGCCATTTGCACAGAGGGGCCAAAAGCTGTACAGACTTGGCATTCCAGATGTTGGGAATGACTTGCAATCTTCTTCTATCAAAGCTTCCTGTGGGTGGTGTGTGTCTGTGGTAAAACATCCTGATAATTAACTAGTTTGCTCTATGCATACATAGATTTTAATATTTTTAAACGAAGCTGAATATTGCAATTTGACTTTTACGCCTGGATAATCCAGCAGAGTAACGACTTGCTTCCAGTTACACGGGCGGTCATTACTAGAACAGGGAATATAGCTATAGACCTGTGATTTACCCAAAGGCCATCTGCCTCTCTTCCTGAAAATTGTAGTACTGTAGCAGATTTTTTAATTGAGCAACGTTTAAGTGACCTTTATAATGATGGGAACTTCAGGTCTGAGAATGTGTCATGCTCTAAAGCACAAATATGCAAAATATTGTTTTGTTGTCTTAAAAAGCAGCAAATCTGCCCAAAACCAAGACGTATTTTGCAGGCGTTGTTTCAGAATACAATGTGGACAGTTGTTACAATTAATTTACCATATCTGATCTGCTTGAAATGAAAGTCACTGCAGCTTTAACTTGCTGACAGTATTTTTGCTGAAGAGGAAGGAAATATTTATTTATTTATTTATTTAAATTTTGCTATCGCTTCTTTTAACTGAGACTCAGGTTTTCTTTTTGCTTGAAAAGTGGAAAAATCATGGATTTAAAGGTTCATGTTTGATAATTAAATGGACGGGCTTCTTGAATACCGATGACAGGGGAATTAAAATTTTTACTTCTTTGGAGTTATACTGAGAAGATGATACCAACTTTGTGATAGGAGAAAATATGTTTTGGCTTGTACATAGGAATGACCCCAATTATTCAATGGTGAATTGTGTTGACATGAAAAATAAAAAACACTTTTTTTTTTTTTTTCCCTTTTTAGTGGCTGAGGGCATAGAATTACCATCTCAAGTATTGTATTGTTTAATATGCTTGTGCTGTACAAGAAATAGCATTTGTAATGTGATCTTAATGGTTGCTATTAGCATGTGCTACAGTCCACTAAGAATTAATATTCAGTATGGGTGGGAAAGTTAAGGTGGCTTCTTGTTGTGTGCGTGCCATTTTAACTCAAGATTGGCAACTAATCTTTGCAGAAGGCAGAAAACTGAATGTTTGCATCTGCTATGGGTTTTGTGTTTCGAAATCGGATGGTGAGGAGAGTTCTTAAGCTTTGGGACACAAAATAGGCTGCTAATAGATAGAGGAGATGGAGACCACCTTTTATACTTGTATTTTAATATTCCTCCTGTGGAAATTAAGAAACAAACCATTGTGGGGTTGGTTTTTTCTTTTTTTTTTTTCTCTTTCTAACTGCCCTGTATGGTGTTGGGAATTTTGGATGTCATAGTGCTGATTTTCTTGCTGGTGAACTGTAAATATGTGAAGGACGCTCCAAGACCTCTAAGCCAGAGTTGTTCATAATTATTGCAAGGGCCTTTATCAAGTTGGGTTACTATTATTTTGGAAGTGATTTAAGTTAAGCCTTACAATAACAAAAAGGGAGCTACTCTTATTCTGGCATAAATTGAACTCTGCAAGGGAGATGTAGGGTTAGCTATACTGATACATATGTTTAGACAACCACATGGCCCTGAATGTGGCAGTACTGTTTATTTTAAATGTCATTACTCTTGGAAAGAGTCCCTTTTGTTAAAAACCTGTCAGCATTTCTGTTAGAGCGAAAGAGTTGCTAAAATTATGGCTGTTTCCTGCTTAGTGCAGGTGTGTTTCTCTGGATGAGTAAGTAAAATGGAGACAGCTTTCTTTAGAAAACTCTTTCTAGACCCAGGCCTTTGGTGTGGTAACAAGTGAGGATATACAAAGGCTAGGAAATCTGGTTTAAACAGTCTCTGCCTTCATTGTGCGGCTCAGACCACACAGTGTCTAAGTACTGGAGATTTTACATTGACCTTCTGAAAGACTTGAGTCACCATATACAAAAGGAATTTTCTAACAGAAATGAACTGGGGAGAAACCTCTTTGTTTTCCTCTAAATGAAAGAGTTCAGGTTGTTTGTGTCCTTTAGGGAAGGATATGCTATTTCAACAGTAGATCAAAAGGCCAAATTTTAAGCTGGTACATATCAAGTAAGTCGCCTCACTTTAATAGAGCAACTGAGGTTTTGGGTCACTTTTTTTTAGCTTGGGAGTTACTGTGGTGCTGAGAATCGTGCTGCACAATTTCTTAATTCTTCAAATACAGGGTTTTATTTTAGCTTCTGGTAAGTTCTAGCTTTACAAGTCAGAGAGGGAGCGTTATGTACCAGCTCTTCTACTAGCACTAGCCCTCCCTGCCGACCTGCAAGAGAGGGGAAGGAGCAACCCATCAGTGCCTGCTCACACCCTTCCTGAGTTGTCCTAATGGTGTTGGTAACCTGTGCGTGAACAGTCTTTCTTTCCCGTAGAGATATGCAGCCAAGAGTTGTTCAAGTCAAGTGAGTTCTTGGATGGTATTTCAACTTTCATGAGGTCAAGATAGCTGTCCGAGCTAATCAGACGTGCTGAAGACAGTAGATTTTGCTGTTTGTAAGGAAACTGATCCTCTTGTACAATCGGCATTTCTTGGGTTTATTGTGATTCTGCTGTTGTAAAATGTAATGCTTTGTAGGCCCAAACAAATTTTAAGTTAAGTGACTGTGGGGTGTCTTAGTGTCTTTCCTTTTTTTTTTTTTTTTTTTTATTTAGCCTGTAAGGCTAGGAGACACTGGTAAATGAGCACCTTTCAAGAAAAGTTAAACAAAAAATTTGTCCATGTTTTCCATTTTGTGGGAAAGGTTAACAATGGAAAGAGAGGGGCTGCCCGTCCTGGAATGTTTTTTAGGTTTAGTGGAGGCCAGGAAATTTTTTAGTGCTGCTGCTCTTTTAGTCACCTGCTAAGACTTCAGAGTACCTCGCGTATGCCTTTCCTACATCAGCTGAGTCCAACACAACCCATTGTCAAAAATAAAATGGACAGAAGGGAGCAATGCACCTCTGAGAAGTGTTTTGATGCGGATGTTTGGCATGTAGGGTTTCATTAGTATATTAAAATGAATGCCAGCAACATGTGCTTCCTTATGTGGGCCTGCAGAGAGCTATGCAAATAGCTGAAGGAAGCAGGTCTGAGCTGATGTGACTGTGTTCACCCATGCTTGGGCTTCTTTTAGTCATCTTGCTATTGTTCTATACATAGAGACATTTTAGATACCCTAATAGCT